ATAGATAGATAGATAGATACGCTCAAAGTCACTGAAGTTCGCTAAGAAATGCTTCGCATTTATTAAAGTGTAACTTAATGTTTGTTGTGAGTTTAACCCCCTCAACCAGACCTCACTTAAATCAGGTTCAGGCACTATTCTAAATACCTCAATTTTCAATCAGTTCGAATGAAAGATGATGTGGTCTTGCCTCTTGAGCTTTGTTTTATTGGTACATCAACAAGCTAGCGGTTGCAAGTCGTGCCTAATTGTCTTTCCTAACTTGTTCACATCATAAAAGCACTGAGGGTAAAGCCACAATGGAAAAAATCAAAGAATAAAATGGTGCATGTGCCCCTGAACATAAAAAAGCGATGCTTATGTAACCAATATGATGAATTCTGTGAACCCTGCCATGCCTCACACGGTTCTGTAAACATTTTGAGAGGTATTTTTGTCATAACTCTGACATGGTTTATCAATACAACTATAAGAGTCAGAAAGCTTGAATAGGGCCCCACCACGGTGGTCTAGTGGCTAAGGTACTCGGCTGCTGACCCGCAGGTCGCGGGATCAAATCCCGGCTGTGGAGGCGGAAATGTTGGAGGTGGATGGAGGCGGAAATGTTGTAGGCCCGTGTACTCAGATTTGGGTGCACGTTAAAGAACCGCAGGTGGTCAAAATTTCCGGAGCTCTCCACTAGGGCGTCTCTCATAATCATATGGTGGTTTTGGGACGTTAAACCCCACAAATCAAATCAATCAAAGCTTGAATAGGACTAACAGATTCATTTGGTGTGGATTATTTATAATATGACAGTACAATAAATAATAATAAAAACAAATGATCCACAGAAACACAAGCGCTGATTCACAGCTGAAATTTATTTAAAATAAAGAACAGATATATGCATCCAAATGGCTGTAAACAAAATTGATCGGCAATAAATAAAAACAAACAAAAGTTGTACACATGGTAAAGGATTTGTTTATCATGCTGTGCAATTGGAGGAAAGCTGGTGCATGATTGTTTTTCATTTTGACTGTTTCTTTGCAATTAGTCCCATTTTTCTTCTTTAAAACATCATTACAAGACCACACGGGATGCTTGTGCTTGCGCACGTGACTCAATAGTCTTTTTTTCTTCTTTGTCGAGCCAGTCTAAAAGCGAGGAAGCTTACTGGACCTCAAGATTGCATATAGCAGTTCTTACCCTATTTGTTTATGTGAAAATCAATTATAGTGAACTGTTTTTGACTTTACTGTTGCCACGATTGCTATGTATTTGCTCCCTGATTAGTTTTAGTCCTTTTTAGTGTTAACTTTAGCACACTGCAATAATGCTGGTCAGACTCCCGGCAGCTTTAGGACAATGAACTAAATTTGACGTTGAGAGTAAGTCAATGCTGCCAATATTCCTCCAGTTGAATGAGCCAAACATAAAGTAAGAAAACAGCTACAGTGAGGGCATTTTTTATAACAAAAATGTTATTTGGAGCAAGGCACAACATTAGATTCCAACAAAGCACATATATTTTAGGAACATGTGAGCCTTATATACATTTATGAAAAAAAACCATGTGAGCCGAGTCTGACAGGGGCTATACAAAAAAGCGCATGGATCGGCATTCTCTGATCAGCTTCCAAGCCTCACTTCAGCGAAAGTGAGCCTGGCTTTAACCACTCATTGTATTTCATCTAGAAAATAGCAGAAGCAGTGTACAACTAATTCTTTATAATATACACAGTGTAGTTAGAGCATCATTCTGATGTTTTATTTAAAACACAGCCTACATGCTGCAATAATAAAAAATTATTTCAAAGGTGTACATGCCTCTTCTGCTCATATTTATTTATTTAATATGTTTTATTAAGTCCAATACTACACTAACATTTGAACGTGAATATAACAGATGGCTCAGAAATGAAAGGTGGTCAAAAATGACTCTGCAGGCCATTGCTCATTTATTCGAAGAACACCGCCAGCATGTAGCCCCACCAATGTCCTTCTTCTCCTGTAATTTGAACACACTCCTAGCAACGATGAAGGTGATGAGCTTATCAGAGAGAAATTCGGTGAGTCGGTGCCTATAAGCCTTCGAGCAAGAGCATTTCAACCGCGTAAAAATGAGTTGGGTGTGTGAATATACTCATCATTCACGTCATGGCGAGATACAGCATGTAATCGGAATCATCTTATCTTGTATGGGAGGCCGAGCGTTTGGTTGGGAATGCTGAGTGTTGGCCAGTGGCATCAGGTATTCAAGATTTCTTGTGGTATCCACTCTAGCATAGGTTCAAAATTGGTGGTTGACGTGTTCATTGTGTCGCACTGCAGTTTGCCAACATGTCTTGTCCACTCACAGTCAGCACTTTCGAGGGTATGTTCAAAAGATGTACTGAAGCCATTGATAAAAATCTTGGTCCAAGAATCTTCCATTTGTGCACAAGAGCCGCATTTGTGTAATAGCCTTCTTCTCGATCAGTGTCTACAGCATTTCTGTATTCCTTTTAACGTTTTCGGGCAAGAACGGCATTGAAGGTAGGTTTTCATGACTTTTCAGTGCTGTGCATAAACTTCTGACAAAGTTGAATGGCTTTTTTGTTGTTTAGTTGCCTCAGTTAGAACCACACAGCCTCCTGTTTCGGTACACTATTTCCCTTCGTAGGATTGCTCTTTGCACGCTTCTAAGTGCTTTGTACTATCATGAAAGCAAGCACTAGCAGGTGTCGATTGTGGTGCTCTTATCTGGTGTTCAACATACTTCTCGCTAGCTTTGTTTGCACACAAAGCAAGAAGTGAAAGTATGGTGGTAACAATTGCTTTGAGTTTTCCTTGTTTTATTGTATTTTGGGTGTGCTTCACTCACCTACACACCTCTCAGATAGTGTTTCAGGCAAAGGCAGCCGACTGTATAGGCAGAGAGGACAGTATTACAAAAAAAAACACAAAAAACGCCAGGCCTGCACGGAACGCACAGCACAGTCAGGTGGTGGGCAATATGTGGCGAGACTACGCGCAAGCCAGCATACAAAAGGTTGCATTAGACGCAAGCATCACACCAGCGTCAATACGCATCACAACTTAGAGAAGCGTTTTTTCGAATATGCATCCGACTCACCAACGGTATCAGAATCAAAAACAAGGTGAAGCATGAGGAGACAGCAGGCTCTTTAGGCGCTGCCGTAGGGAAAATATTACAAGGTGTATTGTGAGTATGCCACCACCGTAGAGTTCCGCAAGACGAATGCCATGTCATGGAGCCGTGGTACGTATAGAATGAAGAAAAACTTGGGGAAACAGCCTATCTAAGGACAGAATATAAGAGGTAGGTTGCATATAAATGTGCCATGCTTCTAATCAGCCAAGCGTTTTTAAATATCTGCTCTTTTGTCAAATTCAACGGTCCGACTGACTGATGTTTGAAGTGTGAAAAACAGCACACAGGCAAAATTGTGGTCCATTTCCGGAAGACGACGTAATTTCATTCCCAATCTAATCCGCAGAAAATCGCCTAATTCGATTCCAATTTCATACCTCCTAGCTTGGTCGTCATTTCTTTCCGTTCTGTTCCGGGGCAGCGATAATATGTAATTATTTAGAATTCATTTCAATTTAAAAGTAGCGACTCCGAAACGCTGATCGGCACCGTTCCCGCGGTGTCATAATAAAACGGACCACCAGACATATCTTTCTCGCCAACCACTACCACTACCTCCGCCTCTCCCACTAAACAACGCCTTACAGTCACAGCGACAAGAAGATGCAAGAAGATTGAAGCTGGTGGCGGCTGTCGCGTGGCCGCCATGTCGTTATAACCACTGCGCGTCCACAAAGAGCTAACACCAGATTCCGCTGACGGTTTCAGTGACGAGGACCTACATGTTATCGCTGTCCTGAGGTCATTATTAGCACAATGCGCACACTCTTCACTTGATTGACGACCCCATCAGCGTGAAGCAGACTGCAAGTTCTGGATACCTTGGAACCAGTCTTTGCAAGCTTTCTATAACATCTTGAACTGCAGTGTACTTCATCTAAGAAGGTCGAAATTGATCTGATATGTGACTGTTCGCAATTTTATGACCTTGTGGGCATGCGTGGTCCACGCGCTACTGTGCTTGCTACTGTGGAACTTGTCCTCTCTTTCCTTCTCTTTTTATTGTTTTTCGTGCCATGCCCTATTTTTCGCTGTGTAGGATAACCACCCTGGTTGGTTAACGACCCTGCCTTTCATTTGCTTTGCTTCTTTCTCTCTCTCTCATATCATGGTTTCGAGATGTAAAACTCCATATATTGCTATTTGACCCCTGTTTTAGTGGCAGTTAAGCTGACTATGTTCCCGTGTCTTCAGACAACTATCACGTAGATTGGACCAGTTGTCAAATGCATTGATTTCGCCTATCCCCATGCTATCTGGAAGGACGTGGAGATGATCCTACTGAAAAATAGTGGACTGTTGGGCGAGTTGGTGCTTCGGTCTCAAGCCCATCTTTAGGGCGCTACTAAAACAACACAGAGGAGGAAACAGACAAGGACAGGCACAAACTGTTTTCCTACTGACCTGTGAGCCTACTTAGATCCTACTGTGAACTTACTCAGTTGCCACAAGGTACACGCCCGACGAACCTAACTTAGTGTGTTCTGGTGGCGACTGTCACTACTGGAGTGCGGAAGTACGGTCCTCCGTCTTATATTTGTGAAGATCTTTCACTTGCAGGTAGGCACCAACGCACCCCTGCCTGACATATAGACGTATAAGTTCGCAGCCAGAACGTATGAATTCAAGCGCTTGCCTTGTAAAGTCAGTGTGGGACAGCCTGCTCTCTTTGACATAACAGTGGATGTGGTTTTATACGACGTATGTAAGTTATTTATCACATTTTTTTAGTACCACCTCTCGCTACGTTAGCATAGCTTTTGGTGAATATATCTTGTTCTGTGTACTCGTATTTAGCACTGCAGCAAGTTAGTTATACATGCAGTATCATTCATAGTAAATGTACTTCTCTCATTTTCAGCTTGCCTTTTCAGACATGGTAAGGACAGCACTTCTTTGCCGCTCGCTAATTGTAAACTTTACGTGATTGCAAAACACAATTTTGATCAATTTACTCTAGATAGATAATTATTTCTGGAGACCAGGAAATGCGATGAACTCTTGTTCTAGTTCTTTTCTTGGCGGCTTCTGATTGTGGCAAAAAAGTCAGTCAGGAGGGACATCCTGTAAACAGATGGCTGTAGGTAGCGTTCAAAGTAGGCATAATATAAAACAATAAGTAGTGTTTGACATAATTCAATAGACCATTCCTCTGTTTAAAAACGCAGACCTTTGATGACATTAGGTTTCGTCCACCGATGTGCCATAGAAAATAGCCCAATCATTTTCTACACTTTCCTTTCCTTATTTTGCAAAATATATTAAAATAAATGTTCTTTTGAGCTACATAGAAAATATAGTGCTTTCCCTTGAACTTTGCGTACGTTCCTTTTACCTAAAAAGCTCAAGGACACTTCCCTTACCCTGGCAAAAAAAATTGAAAATGTGCTTTTTCTTTCGACCTGAGGAGCTGGTAAATGAAATAACCAGAAATTTTGGAGGGTACAACGCTTGCAATCTTGAAACCGTCTATATAACCTATTAGTCGTAAAAATTATTTAAATGGATACCAATGATTTCATTTTCATAAAGTTTGAATTTACTTGATTGTACTTGGCGAAGTTGAATGCAAAAGGGGTTTTTATTCATACATTCGGATGTTTAGTTGATATCACTGGTATAGAGTAGTGTAGAATCAATCTACATGCATATTTAGATAACCTAAAATAACAGCATTACCCCCTTCCTACCACTTCACAAACACATTCATTTCCTAAACAGAGCCTTCATAAATTACGAAGAGGCATTTCGTTCAATCGATATATCAGCAGTAATGCAGACGCAGGAGAAGCAGGGTATCTACGAAGCCTGTATAACGGTTGTGTATCGATAGAGGATTGTTTATATAGGCTGTGGATGCAAGCATACCTCCACAGTCATCATAGTTCTTTACAAAAAGGTGACATAATCCCCAGAAAAAAGTATGTAAGGCTGAGGGAAGCGATATCTCTAAATATTGTACACTGTTTGTTTAGAGGAGGTTTTCAGGACCCCTACTTAGGAAGAGTTCACTGAAAGCATCTTAGTAACCTGGGACATGCTAGTGACGTTTCATTGATGATAACTAAGGGAATGAATTATAACCCATCATTTCTGAACTGAACATGGGAAGCCAAATGCGTGCCGGGAAATTGATATGCTTAAAACTAAACTAGTGTACAACTGTCTCAGAAGAGAACAGAGCTTTGAGATAGTTGGCTATACAGTATGTGGTAGCAGAATACATCTGCTTTGGTTAGTAGTAATCCCGGAGCCTAACAATAACATTGAACAAGCTGAGAAAGAAGAATGGGAAGAAGCACATTCGCCGAACAATCTGAAATCATGAAGAATAGTTTACCACTACGCATCAAGGGAACATATATAAGTGCTGCAATTTACTACTATTTACCCAGAGAGCAGAAACCTGGAAACTTACGAAGAGGCTTCAACCTAGATTGAGGACAACGCAGCGAGTGATGGAAAGAAAAATGGCAGGTGCAAGCATAAAAGACAAAAAGAGTGGTTCAGGAAAAAAACGGGTTAAAAGACGTTTTAATTCATATCAAGATGAAAAAATTGAAAATGGGTCGAGCACATAGCGCGTTAGCACAATAACTGCTGGCCATGAGCGGAAACAGTCTGTATTCCAATGAAAGAAAACACGTGAGAGACAGACAAAAATACGTAGTCAGAGGAGATTATGAAGTTAGCATGAATAACTTGGCAGCAGAAAGCTGAGGACTGAGATGATTGTTAGAGCATGTGAGAGGCCTTTGATCTGGATTGGGCCTGGTCAGACAGATGATGACGTTGCACAAGAATATAGGTTTTGAACGCAAACTGTAAAAAAAAAAACAAGTGAGAGGACGCAGCGTGCGCTGTGTCTTCGGGATATGTCTTGTCCCTTTATTTTGTGTTCGCGCGCAATATTATTATGAATTGCATAATTCAGCTACAAAAATGAATCGCGTCGATGCCATTGCAAATGTCGTGTTCCAGTTGGATGTTCCAACTGATCAACAAGCAACATCGTTGTGGTACCATGAAGATAACGTGCTGCGATGTCCGGTATAATTGACCTACGATGGTTCTCAATGACGAGACTGTTTCCCTCACCGTTATCAACCGTTCATCTAGACACTTCGCTTCATGGCCGCTAATTCACGCTCGCTTATTCTTTTCCCTCAATGAGAGGGAAACAGCGTCGTCATTGAAGGCGTCTTGAAAGTGAATGGTAGATGCGCTGTTTGGTGCAACGGTTAAGGTTTACTTAGCTTAATGAGGAAGCTTTCATCGCTCCGTGATGATTACATGTGTCCACCTTTCCGTAATGTTAGAGTGGCTATGAACTATACGTAGGAAGGGTGTTTTCAATGGGTGCACAATACAAATAGAGATGGGTGCGCGAGTTACAGTCATCTTTGCTCGGCCGGGTTCATGTTATTCGTTTTCAGGTGCTCTGTCACATTTGAAAAAGATTATTAAATGAACCTTTGCGTAGCCGCGTGCGCTGAGAGCTTCATACGACATCGCTACGGGTACAAGGGTTTTACATTCACGTTTGTACAAAATTGTAAGCTTTCCTATGTATTGTTTCGTCTTGTGTAGTGTTGCGATATGCATTTACCAAGTTTCAATTATGTTACATTTAGAATGGCACTACATATGCTTCCTAATGCCAGCAATTCGCTTTTCATGTGAAACATCAAATTATATTTTGGACGCGAGTTACTTGCCTGTTTTCTTCCAAGACTCCATGAGCTCTGCTCACAATATTGAGAGAGTTAAAGCATTCGTTAGCATACTTCGCAGGGGCAACTACCAGGTTATCTCTTCAAGAAGACTGAGCGTGCCTGTCTATGCACAAGAAATTAATATCTTTCGTTCAAATTTGTTCGAAGAAATCCTGAACAACATTTGTGTGTGTACAATGCAGTGTCATAATTTTAGTTTGCTTATGTATGAAAAGTTTCCGCAGCACACGAATATATTACGGAGTGGGATAAGTTAAAAAAGCAGGATGAAGTGGCTCAAACATGTTGATCGACATTTCGGTAGGAGGAGCTATTTCTGTTTAGGGCACCTTGTCATTCTTGGCAAGTTATTCTTATAGGTAACAGTATTGGCATCATGTTCCTCTGGTGGCGCACATCAATGTTGGTAGTCACCATCTGGAAAGATAAAACAATAGAGCAGGGTCGTTTTGCGCTTGTCCAAATTTAAGCACCGTTCCCAAGGGCGATCAGGAATCTTATCTGATAGTCAGGAACAGCAAAAAAAGGAGTGGGAGACAGAAGAAAATAAATTAGGGTAGGAGCAGTGGAACTCAATAACAGTCGCAAAACACAATATATATTATTTTTTATTTGTTTATTTATTTCTTTATTTCAATAATCTCAGGGCCCGAGGGCATTACAGAGCGGTGTCACACCTGTCCCGTTTATTAGGGAGGCGATCGCCGGGCTAATTCCAAGAGCCGAAGTATCGGCCCCCCGAACCGCACCACGAAAGCGTGGACAATTTAGAAGTGGTCCTTATTGGTGCGCCAGCGGACGCCGGCTGTGGCCCAAAGAACAAGACAGAGCCGAGAGATGATAAACAAACAAAATTATATTCTCATTAACGGCAGATCAAAAACAATACACACGTATGCACACTCCACAATAGTTCAGACAATACGTCACCAAACAGACAATGTACTACACAGTACAATCAACCACACTTGAAACAACGGACACAGACAACAATACGCACTACGATGCAGTCACATGCATTGAACAACCAAGACACTTAAGGACTAAAGAGATAGAAAACCTATTCAGTCCTAAGTCCTTGGAACAAAAGTCTGAATGATACTCTTCCGAGAATCACTCACTCAAAGTCCAGCGTTGTTGTCGTTCCGCAGCTCTCTGGAGTTTCTCTTCCAGGAAACCTCCCGTCTTCAATTGGCCACTCTTCAAACTTCAACTCTTCGCCGGAACCCGTCGGCTTCACACACGCAGCTGTTGCCCGCGTCTTCGCTCGATAGCGGTAAACCCACGCTCTTGCCTGTAGCTCGAGCCGTCCCTACGGACCACAAACTTCGCCGACTACACGGCGGACTCTCTACGCTCTCTGGCGCTCACTTCCGTCTCCTCCTGTTCTGTCACTACGGGCAGAACCTTCGCCGACTACACGGCGGAATTCCTACGCGCTCTGGCGTTAACTTCCGTCACCTCCTGCTTTCTCGTCTCGGCCGCTCGATTAAATACCTTCCGCGCCACTTTCCAGAATTTTCTCGTCCTTTCGTCGGCGCGATACGCAGCGAAGGCTGGAGAGAGGCGAGACGGTTTGTCAGCCCTCCGCGTCGGGTGACTCAGCTCGGCGTAGCCACGCCTCCTTCGTTCTGGAAATTTCTAGCGCTTGCCCGGCCGCCGCTGTGGGGTGAGGAGGTTCGTCTGCGAAGCCGTGCTTCTGCGGGGAGAGCGCGCGCCCGGGAGCCTTGGATGTTTGCTTTCTTTTTTTTTTTTCTTTTTACCTCGCGGCGTTTCTACCGCCCGTTGTCGCAAGGATTTGGCGGCGCGCTCTCTTTTTAGCGCTCGTTCTGTGACACTGCCCCCCACTTTAAGAATATTATCTCATAATATTCAAAACCACACAAACGAGCGCGGAAAGTCACCACACACTCTCACAGACTGTAACACCATCAGTCGCTCATAACACTTCACATTCACAATAGATCACGCAATACAATCTTACATTGTAGTTCAATTCCACAACACATGAAATATAGCCACAGGTACATGCCTACAACACTTCATCACACATTCCAAACAATACAAACGTACAAAGTTCTGTCTATCCAACAATTATACAACACTATACATCACACCATCGCACAGAACACTGACTCACTCG